ACCTTTGGGAGGCTGAAGTGAGTGGATTGCCTGACCCCGCGGGTTCAAGACCCGCCTGGGCAACTTGGCGAAACCTCATCTCTACAATAAAATCAAAATGAGCTGGGCATGGTAGCGCACGACTGTAGTTCCAACTACTTGGAAGGCTGAGGCAGAAGGATCGCTGGAGCCCAACAGGTCGAGGCTGCGGTGGCCAGGAGCGGCCACTGCACTCCAGTCTGGGCAACAGAGTGAGACTCCAACTCAAAAAAAAAAAAAGAGAGAGACAAGGTCTCACGATGTTGCCCATGCTGGTCCTGAACTCCTGGGCTCAAGTGATCCTCCTGCTTCAGCCTCCCAAAGTGCTGGGACTACTGGCCTAAAGCACAGCCCTATACTTTCTTTTTTCTTAATTTAAATGAAAACTCTCCTTATCAGCTCCATGGTCAATCTCATCTTCTAAGAGCTGCACAGATTGTTTATGTTGATTGTATAAATGGTAGCCTGTTTAACAAGCCATCTCGGATGGTTTTCAGTTTTTCTCTATTCCAAAGAATGCTGCAACAATCTTGTGGCCACTGTTGCCAGTATAACCTGTAGGGCACATTCCTAGCAATATAACTGCTTGGTCATGCGTCATATGCCTTTTAAACCTTTGACAGGCATTACCAATAACACAAGAAAAGAGGACAAAGGTTTTGAGAGCATGAGTTCCTGTGACATTTACAAGGAGAACAGTTCAGTCTACTCCAGAGTGTGGCGGTCAGCAGCTTTTCGGGGGAAACAGAACTTGGTCTGGGCACACGTGGGCTGACTGCATCTGTTCCAGGACACTCTGAGTCACAGTCATTTGCCTAAAAAAATAGTATCCTTCCTAAGTACAGAATTGTACGCTCTGCACAGCGCAAGGATTAAAAGTAACCCTTATACAGTGACTTTCCCACCCTACCTGCTGTGTGCCCAGGCAAGCCATCTTCTCCTGGTCACAGCTGCCCTGTGTAACATGGAGCTAAAATCACATTTCCCAGCCCCTTCCAATGCTGAATGTGCTAGAAATGCGGAGAACTTGGCACCCTTCCCTTGCAGCTTCTCAGTGGCTCTTTGATGCATAATGGGGGTATTTCTCCCAGTTTCCTGGCAAGGAAACTGAGGCCTGCAGTCTACTCTGGGTTACGGGGTGCAAAGGGTATCATTCACGTATCCCTCAAGTGAATGTGGCCTAGCCCCACTTTGAGCCCCAGCCCGAAAGGTCAGAGAAAGGTATTTTCCCTCGTCAGTGCCCCAAAGTGTCCCCCAAGGCCTCTTGGGACCTCTGCTGCTCCCAGCTGGGCCTCCCTCCCTGCATCCTGGGCCCCAGAGCCGGCCTCCCCGGCCTCCTCTGACTCTTGCCTTCCCCTCTCTCCCTCCTTTCTCTTCTCCCTGCTCTCAGGTGGCTGCTGAGATCTTGGTGAGTGTCCCACGCATTTGGATTTAGTGGTCTCCCTGCGTGAAGTCTGGCTGGGCTGAGCGGGGCAGCTTGGGGCAATGATTTGGGGGCCTGCTCTGTGGTTTCTCTCTCCCCTTCCGGGTCCCTTAAGGACCCTGCTGAGCAGAAGATAGGCCAGGAAGTGTTTCCCAATCTTTAGCCTTTCATCTCTGGCATGATTTGTGCTACGAACCACCCGCTGATAACGGTTACCTTCATGACCAGGTGCCGTGGCTCATGCCTGCAACACCAACACTTGGGGAGGCCAAGGCGGGAGGATTGCTTGAGCCTGGGGGTTTGAGAACAGCCTGGGCAACAAAATGAGACCTCGTCTCTACAATAAACTTAAAAAATAACTGGGCATGGTGGCATGCACCTGTAACACCAGCTACTCCATGGGGACTGAGACGGAAGGATCACCTGATCCAAGTAGGTTAAGGCTGCGGCAAGCCATGTTTGTGCCACTGCACTCCAGCCTGGGCAGCAGCGTGAGACCCCACTTCAAAAAAAAAAAAAGAGTTGCCTTTACATCGATTCAGTTTTTAAAACCTAAAATAAAGGAATTTAAGATTGGTATAACTGGAACTGGTCACTAGCTAGAAGATAACTGTGGTAACTTATATCTGCAGTGTGTTGAGATACATTCTTTCTTGACCTTGCTTGTGGAAATGCTGGCTCAGCTATCTTTCCTGCCCATGCATGTACTCATTCCCCAGAGGGACTTTCAGGGGTTGAGGGAAGAAAAGAGAAGTCCCAGTCCCCATCCCAGTGGCTGTGTGCTCCTCCCATGGGCCCCGGTCCTGGGGCCAGAGTGGAAGTAGCCAGCGCTAAGCCCCTCTGGGCTGTCCACGGGGTCCCTGGCACCTGGAGCGGGGGACAGCGTAGAGGCCCTTGTGCTGGAGGCTGAGGAAGGAAGAGGGGCATCTCAGCCCCCGGGATGGCTGGGTCAGCCCAGGCAAAGGCCTGAGAGTGGATACTAACCAAGGCTTTCTTGTGTCTTTCCTCCCAAACCCTTGCCCCTACCTGGGCACTGCAGGAAATAGCAGACACGCCCAGTGGAGACAAAACTTCCCTGGAAACACGTTTCATGACCGTCCTGTGCACCCGCAGCTACCCGCATCTCCGCAGAGGTAAGACCTGACCTCCCTTCCACCGTTCCTCAGAAAGATGATGCCTGATCTGCCGAAGGCTGAGCAGTGGAGTATCATGGTTGGCGGGGATTCTGGAACCCCAGGTTCTAGCCCTGGTTCTGCTGCTGACACGGCGTTCAGCCGAGAGCCAACTCCTTTCACCTCCTTAGAAAGACAGGGGGATCCCTGGCATTAGGGGTGGTGAGTGGGTTTCACCTCAAAGGCTGATACTGATGGATTGGTAGTAGCTGCCTAGAATGCTGTGTTGAGAAGGATTCTGAGGTTTGATGTCAGGATCCATTGAAGCAAGGCAGCGAGGGGTGGGAAGGGACAAGACCACATAGACATCTCTGAGCCACAGGCTGCCACATGCATGGGACACACCTGTATGCAGTGGCCCTGGTGTTCGGTGGTCACGAAGTGCCTTTTCCACAAAGACGTTTACCTTTTCTTGTGCATTTGTCTGGAACATACAGTACTCACAGTGCTGTGGCATAGTGGCTAGAAGCGTGGACTTGGGCACTGGGCCACCTCGATTGGAATCTGCTACTTACCAGCTGTGTGACCGCATCTCTTATGTGGGAACTGGGGTTTTAGTTCTACCTCACATGGTTTTTGTCCCACGCACGTAAACCACTCGGCACGATGTGTAGCACACAGCGCCTGCTTCCTGCGTGCTGTCTCTATTTCTCCCAGCTCACACAGGAGGAGCAGGAGGTCCAGGGAGGAAGGGGTCGCCCAGGGGCCCTCGGTGAGCTGGGCAGGGCTAGGACTAGGACCCCCACTCCTTTTACTGCCCCAGCGTGGGTTCCAGGATGTGTCCCAGGCTCTGGGGTTGTTGGCCGGGCCCGAGGCTCTGACCTGGCGCAGTGTTGGCTCTGAGGCCACGCAGCCTTGGTGTCGGCACCTCCCTCTCGTGGCGGCCCTGCCCTTCATGTGCAGGCCTGGGCTGTGGCCATCCTGCTGCCCTTTCCCCGTCCCGGGATCAGCCTGCAGAGCTGGTGGGGGGGTTTCCTCCCCTCCCGCACCAAGGCTCACCCCACCTCCGGCTTCTTTTGGGCAGTCTTCCAGGAGTTCATCAAGATGACCAACTACGACGTGGAGCACACCATCAAGAAGGAGATGTCTGGGGATGTCAGGGACGCATTTGTGGCCATTGGTAACCAGCGGGACAGAGGGCAGGGGCGGGGCGCTGGAAACTTGGCCTGATTCCCTGGAAGCATGTGGCCCGCAGCCTCCTGAGCTGCGAGCACTGAGGAGACAGCGCCCCGGATGGCTCCCAGGGCCTGCCAGGGGTGCAGCTGAGGGCGTGTCAGGGGGGCTACTCAACCTCTCCCTGGGGGAGGACCAGGAAGGCTAGAACAGGCCAGGGAGGGGTGCAGCATCCTATATGATGAAGATGTGTACACACAAAACACATTACACATACAGATACAACACACGCCCCACATACAGCACACATATGAGTCATGCATCTTGCACACACAGCTCATGCATGCCAAGTATGCACATGCCACATACACAAGACGCATATACCTTAACACACAGCCCCCCCACGCACGACACTACACCTGCCTACACACACGTCATACGTCGTGCACACACAACACACACACACCCTCTTCTCCCCTCAGTACCTGGCTCTCTCTGTTTACTTTCCTTACTTATGTGGGTTCTTGACTTTGCAGAGGTCTTTCCTTCTTGGGTCCCCGTTTCTTGGTGAGGAAATATAGAAGAGCGGCTAGCTATAAGGGTTGGCGCTGCTGTGTTCACTAGTGTTAGTTATGAGTCGCATCTCATTTCATTTCCTCTAAGATGTATTGTACAGTATAGGTGTCTTAGATGGTGAAGTAGAGGTATTGTTGTTGTTACTTAGCATGTGACAGCCCCCATCACCCAAGGTGACGTCCAGAGACAGGAGAGTCCAGTGGTTAGAGGCCCAGACTCCAGATGGAATCCCCACCTGCCACTTCTTAGCCACACATCCTTGGACAGGTCACAACACCTGTGTCTCAATTTCCTCCTCAGTAAAATGGAGATAACAATAGCACCCAGCCCACAGGGCGGATTTTGTAAGATTTAAATAAGTTAGTAATACGAGAGGCGCATGGCACGGTGCCCCCTGCCACATAGTGCTTACCGGACAAGGGTTGACTTTGCTTGTTCCTGCTGGTCCCGCGCAAAGTCAGTCGCACACAGGTTGGTTGGCCCGCACCAGTGCTCCTATCCGCTTATTTATGGAGGACACTGAGTTCAGAGAATCAGAACCAGTGGTGGAGCCAGGACTCACACCACTGGCTTTGAGTCCAGAGCCCGGGTTCTGAAAACCAGAGTAAAAGCCTTGGGAAACACTTTCAGATCTCGCCTTCCTGTGTTTCTCCCTCTTCCCTCTCTCCTCTTGCCTCGAGCATGCGTGCATGTGCCAACACACCCCACACCATTTCACAGTGCTCTGTCCCACGGCAGGCACCGGGCTCCCCTGTGGCACATCAACAGGCTCAGTTTCTAGGAAAGCTTGCGGGGTTGGTGACAGAAGAGAGAAGTTTCTCCCCAGTGTGCTTCTTAACCAGACTGACGAACCCTAAGCCTGAAGTCAGGGGAGGCTTCCTGGAGGTGTTGTCACGACTTGATGTACTTGCCCATCAAGGTCCAGCCTTGCAGAGATTTGATTTAGGGAGGTGTCACAGCGAAGGGTAGCTAGGAAACACATCCCTGCTGGGAGAACAAGGGCACAAAGGAATCTGAAGAATGTTCAGATAAGGGGGACAGGGGCGGTGAGGAAGCAAAGGGACACAGGAGCTGGGACTTTGAGCCCAAGAAGCTTGGGATTTGCTTGGCAGGTAGTAGGGAACTGAGGGAGGAGCTGGAGGAGGGAGGTGTGTGGTGTGATCTTTCCCTGGGATCCTGAGCCTGCTGCAGGGGCGACTTGCATGACTGTGCTCTTAGGGTAGGCAGCTCCAGCCTCTGCCCCCTGTTCTTGTAGAGATCCTCTCACATCCAGAGTCATTCTGACTGTGATGCTTGTGTCTGGGACCATTGAAGACACCCCCATGTGGGCACTGGAGCCTCCCAAATCAAGCAGCTGCTGAGGGCTTGAGAAGGGGTTGGATTGGCGAAACCAGGCAGGCAGTATCTGGGGCAGGGTGGGGAGGGGTGTTGCCAGGGCAGCAAGAGTGTGTGGGTCCTGAGCAGCACAGAGCCTCCGGGCTTGGCAGGGTGCTTTAAATGACCCCAACGGACAGTCATTCTCTGGGGCAGTACTGCTCTAAATCGGTAACTCTCAGGCATCAGGCCGCACAGAGCAGGGCGACCCACTGTCCTGGCTTGTGCAGGATGTTCATTGCTAGAACCAGGAGTGTCCCAGGTAGACTGGGGTGAGTTAGTTGGTCTCCCACCTATAGGGTTGCAGGTCAGCACACCTGGGGTGGGGCGTGACAATGTGCATGTCTTCCAAGTTCCCAAGGGATGCCAATGTTGTTGGTCTAGAAACCATGCTTTGAGAACCGTGACTCGAGATGTTTCTGGAGTCTGAGTCTCTAGGGTGGAGCCTAAAACCTGAGGTTGAAACAAGCTCCTCAGGTGATTCTGATGTGATTAAAGGTTGGGGGCCCTGTGTCTTGGGTGCATGAGTTTTGTTTGTTTGTTTTAAGTCAGAGTCTCACTCTGTCGCCCAGGCTGGAGTGCAGTGGCATGCTCATGGCCACCACAGCCTCGACCTGCTGGGCTCAGACAACCCTTCCACCTCAATTTTCCAAGTAGCTAGAACTATAGGTATGCACCGCCGCACCTGGATAATTTTTTGATTTATTGAAGAGACAAGGTCTCGCCATGTTGCCCAGGCTGGTCTCAAACCGGAAGTCCAGTGCAGAGTCTCTGCCCACGGCCTCTGACCAGGTTCCCTGTGTTTCTCCTCTTCCTGCTAGTTCAAAGTGTCAAGAACAAGTCTCTCTTCTTTGCCGACAAGCTTTACAAATCCATGAAGGTAAGAAAGTGTGCCAGTTTGTTCCTTTCCCCTTAAGCACTGACATACACCCACAGCACAGATGTGCGCCGGTCCCCAGGTCGGGACTTCTAGTGCTATGTCCTCCCGTTGGACATTTCTCAGAATCTGCCCTTAGCTGTCTCTAGGACTGTAGTGCTCAGTCAGGGGGATCTTGCCCCCAGAGGACATCTGGCCATGTCCAGAGGCATTTTTGGTTGTCGCAGTTCAGAGAGTGTTGCTGCTACTCCCACAATGAAGTATCCAGCCCCAGATGCCAGGGCTGAGTAGACACAGTCTCTGCCCTCTCAGAGCTCATATTCTAGCAGGTGACGTGAGGTCTCCTATGACAAACGATCATCAAGTGTCACACGTGCTCAGCTCTGGGACTAGCCCTGCCCTTCCTGAAGAGCCCAGGCCACCCTGACCACCTCCAGCCCAGCCACTGTGGCGTCTCACTGCAGGCGGGTGGGTGAGTAAGAAAGAGCCGGAGCCCCTTGGCCTTCAGTCCCCACCCGTGACAACCATTCACTGAACCCTTGCCAAGTGCTAAGTCCTGTGCCCAGGGCTCCACCTCTGACCGCAGTCGACCCACGTGGTCATCCTGTGAGACCATGGTGGTATCCCCATTTCATAGAAAGGAAAGTGAAGCCCAAGTAAGTTAAAACGCTGCCCATGTTTACATGGCTCCTCAGTGGCAGAGCTGGGCTCGAACCTAGCTCTGACTCCGAAGCTGGTGTTCCTGGCTCCCCCGGGGGCAGGCCTTGGTTGCCCACACTTTCCATTCCACGCCTGCCTCCTGGGTCCTGTTTTGACTTCCTAGGGCTGCTGTAACAAACCACTGCAGATGGAGTGCAACAGAAACTTGTTCTCCGGCAGTCCTGGAGGCCAGAAGCCCCAAATCAAGGTGTCGGCAGGGCTGGTTCCTTCTGGAGCCCCCGAGGGAGCAGCTGTCCCAGGCCTCTTTCTGGCTTCCAAGGGTTGCCAGAAGTCCTTGGTGTGGATGCGTCTCTCCAGAATCTGCCTCTATTTTCACTGGGCCTCTGTGTGTGCAGCCCTGTCCACTCTCCTATTCCTATGAAGATATCAATTATCAGCTTGGGGCCCACCCTAATTCAGTATGACTTTATTTGAACTAATTACATGTGCCAAGACCCTGCTTCCAAACTAGTTCCCATTCTGAGGCTCCAGGTGACTGTGAATGTAGGGAGAGGACGCTCTTCAACCCAAACAGGCCTTTCTTCCTCTCAGTCTGGCCAGTACAGGGCACAGGGCAGTTTGGTCAGGACTATGTGTGGAAGACGCAGGGAGCATCCCACCCTGGTTTGGGAAGGAAAAGGGGTCTCTCCTGGTGGGCTCTGTCTCTCCCCTGCCCACGTCTCCCTGGCTGGCTCCACAGGGCGCTGGCACGGATGAGAAGACCCTCACCAGGATCATGGTCTCCCGGAGTGAGAACGATCTGCTCAACATCCGGCGGGAGTTCATTGAGAAGTATGACAAGTCTCTCCACCAAGCCATTGAGGTACGGGGCGGGGGGGAAGCTTCAAGGTCCATGGGAAGGGGTGTCACGCCCCTAACATGAGATTAGAAGGCTTTTGATGCCATTGTCTTTCCCAGTGGGTTTCCCTTAGAACAGCTGAGGTATTGCTAAAAGAAAGGAGACCTTCCTCGTTGTTTACACAAAATAAATTACAGGAGAATCAAAGGTTTAGTATTAAAGATTTCCCAATGAAACAAGAGCCCACTTTTGCCTTTTTTTTTTTTTGCATCAGAGGTCTTCGTCTGTCATCCAAGCTGGAGAGCAATGGCACAATCATGGCTCTCCACAGCCTCAACCTCCTGGGCTCAGGTGGTCCTTCTGCCTCTGACTCCTGAATAGCTGGGCCGACAGGTGTGTGCCATAACGCCCAGCTAATTTTCTGATTTTTTTTTGTAGAGATGAGGTCTGGCTATGTTGCTCAGGCTGGTCGCGCAGTCCTGGGCTCAAGCAGTCCTCCCACCTCGGCCTCTCAGAGTGCTGCAGTTGCAGGTGTGAGTCACCACACCCAACCTGTTTTTTTTTGTTTTGTTTTGTTTTTACAGGCCGTGAAATTAAATACTCTTTCTTAAATGTGTTGAGCCATGCAGTCGTTCCTACAATTCAGATCCCAGAAGTTTCTGTCATTCTCATATCTCGCACCCTCAGCATATCTCGCACCCTCAGCAGAAGGCGATTCCCAAGCTACTTTGTATCACTGTGAATTTGCCTTTTCTGAATATTTCATATAAATGGAATCGTGCAATATGTGACCTTTTGTGTCCAAGTTTTTTGACGTATGAAACTCTTTTTTTTTTTTAATCTTTGAGACTGGTCAAGATCTTAAAGTCTGATGCTTTTTCTACTTGACTTGACAAGGCTGGGTATTTCATAGGCACTCATGCAAGCAATGGGAATGTAAATTGCTAGTACATTTATTTTATTTTATTTTATTTATTTTATTTTTTTTGAGTTGGAGTCTCACTCTGTCGCCCAGACTGGAGTGCAGTGACCGCTCCCGGCCACTGCAGCCTCGACCCGCTGGGCTCCGGCGATCCTTCTGCCTCAGCCTTCCGAGTAGCCGGAACTACAGGCATGCGCTACCACGCCCGGCTGATTTTTTTATTTATTATAGAGATGAGGTCTTGCCTGCCCAGGCGGGTCTCGAACCCGCAGGCTCAGGCAATCTACTCACCTCAGCCTCCCAAAGGCACAGGATTACAGGCTGAGCCACTGAGCCCAGCTGCTAGCACATTTTAAAGGGTGATTTAGCAATTTCAAAATGTCTAAAATGTATAATTTTAACTTAATAATTCTACTTGTAAAAATATATCCGCCGGGCTCGGTGGCTCAGCCTGTAATCCCGTGCCTTTGGGAGGCTGAGGTGAGTGGATTGCTTGAGCCCACAGGTTCGAGACCTGCCTGGGCAACTTGGCGAGCCCTCATCTCTACAATAAATCAAAAAATTAGCCGAGCGTGGTAGCACACGCCTGTAGTTCCAGCTACTTGTAAGGCTAAGGCAGAAAGATCGCCGGAGCCCAGCAGGTTGAGGGGGATATTTATGTCAGCATTGCTCATAACAACAAAAATTGGAAGCCCTCCATACAGAACTGGCTCCATAAGTTATGTTCCATCCACTTGCTATAATATGATATAGCCATGAAGAAGCATGAAGAATCTCTATGTAGCCAGGCTCGGTGGCTCAGCCTGTAATCCCACGCCTTGGGAGGCTGAGGTGAGTGGATTGCCTGATCCCGCGGGTTCGAGACCCGCCTGGGCAACTTGGCGAGACCTCATCTCTACAATAAATCAAAAATTAGCCAGGCGTGATAGCGTGCGCCTGTAGCTCCAGCTATTTGGAAGGCTGAGGCAGAAGGATTGCCGGAGCCCAGCAGGTTGAGGCTGCAGTGGCCGGGGGCGGCTACTGCACTGAAGTTCTGGGTGACAAAGTGAGACTCCAACTCAAAAAAATAAAAAAAAATAAAAAAAATCTCTATGTACTGATTTGGAATCTTCTCCAAGTCAAAAAATATAGCCCAGAACAGGATATGTGTCCATTTGTGTAGAAAAGGGATGTTACACCCATACACATATTTGTATATGCACAGACTATTGCTAAAAAACTGTTAACAGAGGTCGCCTCTTGGTTTGAGGACCTAGGGGCAAAGATGGGAAGGAGACTTTTATTGTATAGTCTTTCCTTTGATTTGAATTGTTTATGATGATAATATACTGTATTTTAAAAATTATATATAAAAAAATCTAAAAGGCCAGGCACAGTGGCTCATGCCTATAATCCCAGCACTTTGGGAGGCTCAAACAAGAGGATCACTTGAGCCCAGGAGTTTAAGATTGACCTTGGCAACATAGCAAGATGTCATCTCTACCAAAAAAAAAAAAAGTATACTTAAAAAAATGTATTCCCAGCCAGGCTCGAT